ACTTGAAATAGGGATGATTATCCCGCAAAAATTCTGTATAAAAGGAGCTCCGATTCAATGTAAACCTCGAAGTTTTTCGGAAGCTCTTGACAGAGTAACAACTAGTCTTATTAAATTGTGAAATAAAGTCATATAAAAGGCAAAAGGCGTTGCCAACAAAAAATCATCAGTGTTAGTTATTGAAAGTGTTTTCAGATTGTGCCGGGAAAGGACAACATAAACGAGACGACCCCGTGATCATCTCTATCACCGATTGAGAGCGAAGCCCAAGCTAGAAACCATTCATCCCAACACTACACTTCTCTTTAAGTTTTACGGAACGATTTAATTTTTTTAATGTCTAATTATTAGTGTATTTAACATGAATTTTACATTTTCAGATTTCGAAGACATTTGGCTTATGGGAAACGGGAATTATATACTACTTTCGAATGTTTTCACAATAATGAAAATCGTCTCAGCTGGCGGCTCCCAATTAAAGTAGATGAGGATTTAGCTACACGCATCCAATTCAAATGCTCAGATTGCAGTAAGTTTTAATGTTTTGAATATGTTGTAGTAATTTTTTAATTTTTAAATTTCATTCAATATTAAGGAACTTATCATTCGTCCATTTCTGAGAGCAGTGGGGAAACACATGATACTTTTCAAAGAATGGCTAAAGTAGTAAAATCATTGGAAGAGAAGATAGATGAGCATCTAAGATATTTATGTTTGTTTTGATTTCCTATATTTTATATTTACAAGTTCTTAATTATTTTTTCTCTACTCAGCCAAACATTCATCGAATATTCCAAACACTTCAAACCGATATGCCTTAAAACGTCATATTTCAATTGTTCGTGAAAAGAAAAAGGATTTTTCAAGTAAAATTCCTAAAAGAAATAATCATCAGTAAAATAATGCAACATTTTGTTTTACCTTTTTCTTTTTGTCACTCGTAAATATAATTTGAAGCAAAATGAAAATAATAAATCTGAAATAAAGAAATGAAAGTCTTTTCAATTTATTTATAAGTTTTATGCTTTACTTCATTTGCAAATCATTTGCAATCAATTCGCAAGTTCTATGCAAGTTTTTTGTTTTACATTAATTGCAATTAATTTGCAAGTCTTCTGCGTTATATTAATTCGCAAGTTCTTTGCAATCTTTTAATTGCAATTAATTCGCAAGTTTTTTGCTTTGTTCTTTCTGCAATTAATTCGCAAGTTCTATTTAATCTTTTAATTGTGCTAATTGTAAATATAATTGCAATTAAATGCTTAATTAAAATAAAACTTTAATATTTAATAATATGAAATAAAAAAAACATTGTCGTACTTCCATATTCAACTTTATTTCTTTATATTTTTTTCATAATACATTGATTCTTATTTATTTAAATATATAATTTTAAGTACAACTTTAAAAATTATAGCATCATTAAAAGTTATAAATATAATAAATATCTTTTAATATTTACAACTGAAGTTTCCTAAAGTTTTTCATATATAAAACAAACTGCTATAATTTTTTTACTTGCAACTAATTTGCAATTTCTTTTAAAGCAGTTGAACCGCAAAACTTCTGAAATAAAACCGCTACGTGTAGAAAAATTGTAAATTAGTTGCAAATGTTTGAAATTTGTCCAACCGATTCATCTTGCGAATTAGTTGCAATTTATGTTTGAATGTTTGCAACCAATTCCAGATAGAAAACTAATGAAAAACTGATGATAAAGTTCAAACTTTTCATTATAAAATTGACATCAGAATTTACATTCATATGCTTCAGAAGTCAAATAACATTTGAATAAAACTTTTTAAAAGTCAATCTAGGTAGGTAATTAACATCGAACCAAATTGATTTTTCATTCCGATATTTATCTTAATGATGTTATGCAATCAGTTTAAGCATTTTTATACTAAAAGTTGTGTCGATTGTATTTTGTTGTGCAGAGAGCCTTGCAGACATTACAAATATGTATTTAAAACAGTTTTCAATGTGAATTTTTTGATATCATTAATTCTGTGAAGCTTTAGAAACCTGACTCAATATATTCTTAAAATCAAACGAAGCTCCTTGAAATCTACTTATTCGATTAGTTGTGATATTAAAACGTCAAAATATTTATGAGAATAAGCAATGTCATTATTTTTTTCATTTAACAAATTCCATTTTGTATGGGAAGCATACTTGAATAGAAATCTTTTTCATCAGTGATATATTTTAGTGTTTTGAGATTTGGACATTTGGGAATGATGGCTGGAAACCGTTCTCATCAGGGACATATGAGATATTGTATACCTGGCCATCATCATCAATGAAGGAATAAACTACTACTGATTTTGTAATATAAAGTTGACTATAAATTTTCATGATAAGAAATTAATTTTAAAGAAAAGAGAACGCAGCAATCAAAATTTTTATTCTTAAGCGAAGTTGTATCCTCCAAAATTGACGTCGTTCTGGGATCTTTGGACTTCTTCGTTTCGTCCTGGAGAAACTAAAACAACAACAATAACAGCATCAGCAGATACCAAAGGAAACTTCATGATAACAAATATTTGATTGATTTTTGGTTAATTTATTTTATGATACTTATGAACTTCATGCAGTAACAAAGGTTAAAATTTAAATCTTTACTTTTTCTTCAGAAAAAATGTCGCAGGATTTATGTAACTGTAACGTTTTGTGTTGACTTTCGAGGAAATTAAGAATTCTATTTGATGGAATTAAATTTGAATCATTTCGGTAATGCATTTGTTTAAGTTAGTTTAATCTTTTGGGATATGGGGAGGTGATGGTTGGAAACCGTTCTCGTCAATGATGTAACTGACTGTGTAGGTTTGGCCATCATCACCAACGAAAGAGTATGTTCCACGAACATACATAACTCCATCTTCCGTTTCATTGTTCTTCATGTTTCCATGTTCTTCACGAACTTGTCCATCTTTTGTTTCGTAACTGTGGGTTGATAATGGAAGTTTTTACAAGAAATTAATTTAAAAGACAAGTAAACGCAATTATCTGAAATTTAGATCTTACGCGAAGCTGTATCCTCCCAATCCGACGCCATTCTGGGTAGTTACAACTTCTTCTTTCCGTTCTGGAGAAGCTAAAGTAACAGCAATGGCAACAACAAATAACAATAGAAACTTCATAATAACAAATATTAAATTGATTTTTGGTTAATTTATTTTATGACAGCAGAGAACACTTTTTATAAATCAATAGAAAGCTAAGTTGTACTAATGAAGCTAAGTCGAAAGTTTCCCCTTTTATAGTCAAAACAGAACAAAGCTTAATTAGGGACGAATTGATGATAAGAAATATTTTGTCTATTGTTGGTAGAAAGCTATTTTCTGCAATGCATTACAATACTTAATTAACGGTTTAATCAAACATTACTTTGTATCGAAATGTCTAAGATTACAATTAAATTACTTTTTACCAGTGGTTAACCAAAGCCAACAGTGCTTAGGTCCACTGCATTGACAGATGAACTTCAAATATTGAGAGAAATCAAAAGACTGAAGCAAAAAAATATTTTAAAATCTAACTTGTGAATCTGAAAGGAAAATTCTCTCTGAAAAAGAAAATTTCAGTATAACTATGATTAAAACCTTTTTATATCTAAATTTAATTGGTTTTTATTCCAAAAATAGCATTTTGATTGAAGAAAATAAAATAAAACTTTGCTGAGAAAATTTCAAGCATTTATCGATAAGAATCTTGCATGTAAAAAACGGGGTTAATTAATTAATGATTAATTTATGGGCGTGAAACAAATTAAAAACGATGCTTCTTATTATTTTGCTTTTCGATTTAAAATTTATGCTATGAATAAGAGAAATGAAACTTTTTTATTTTGAAAATAAATTAGGTAATTATGTCAGCACATCAAACGAAAAATGGCAAAAAAAAATTTATTTATTAAGAGTCATTAATAGTTGTAGAATGAACTATCGATTCATTTGAAACAGAAAAAATGAAAAGTTTACATTTTCACTCCTTAAACATTTTGATGAATTTCAATGATCGTCAAATTTTGTTTTCAGAGTTAAAGTTTTCATGTGAAAAATTCAATGACCTAATTTTCATTCCCTTTTCCAATATTTTACCAAAATTCGATTAAAACAATTTAAAGAAAAAAGAATTAAAAATCATAGGAAAAGTTATCGATTAATTAAGTTTGATTTTAATCATTTTACTTCTTTCACAAATATTCGTTCATTTGTGAGTTGTTATTTTGCTAATCATAATTATTTCACGATCGTCGACTCTTTCTTAACCTCAGACTTAAACTAAATTGCATTGAGCAATTAATTAATTTTCTTCATCATCCTTCCACTTTTCTTTTGCCTCAATGCGAGCATTTGGAATTAGCTCATTCTTCAAGCCGCCAAGAACGTTTGTCGTTGCTTGCGTCGCCAACACAATTGGTCGAACCATTGTCGGTGGAATCTGTCGCATGACAGCCCCAACTGCACCCGTGTATCCTTTCTGATCATGTTCTAACGCAGCCATCTGAATGATCGTTTGTGCAGTGTCACCAATACCATCTTTGACAATATGGTAAGCATTTGACATTCCTTCACGGATATCCTGTGATAAGAAATTTTATTTTATTAGTTCGCTCTCTAAGTTTCTTGTTCAAAATCTCACCTGAGGAGGATGAATTCTTTTTCTTTTACCCTTACGATTAACACGACGACGAACTGATGGTCCAACTGGTGAAACCATATCAAAAGCCGTCTCTGCAGTTATCTATTATAAAACATTAATTTATTTACTTATTCAATTATTATAATGAAAGAAATCCTCACTTGAAGCAAATAAATTATTCGTGATGTAATTTCTAAAGCTGCCAAAGCTGTTCGAGCTGTAAAGCTCTGAGCTCCACGTTGAATTCCTCTCACAATACGACCATCCTTTTGATATTGTTCAATTGGTAACCAGAACAAGTCGAAGATTCCTTGAACTTTATGAAAAGATAAAGAAATTCTTTCAATAAATTTAATTTAACAATTTTAGAATCATTTTCGAAAATGAAATTCGAAAATTTCGAAAATAAAACTTTCAGAGGAAAAATGTTGGAATAACTAGAAGAATTTTACTTACATAGTTGAACAAGCGAATACATTGGTCCAACACCTCCAAGAATCTTTGGTAACTGTCGTTTTTTGATGTCGTGAAGCCATTCTTGAATCAAATAATTCAACAAACGATCGACACCCAAAATCCCATGTCGATATGAAATTCTCTTCAATCGAATTTCAGAACATTGAAGTTGTCCTAAGCCCATTAAAAGACCAGCCAATGGGCCATGTGACAATTCAACTCGCTTTCCTTGATAATCCAAACGAATTGGAACATCGGGGCTGAAGATAACATGACGGAAGAAGATTGGCGATGAAGTGTCGGTTGATGTTTCGTTTGGTGCTTCTGTTGTTCCAGCATTTGCCGAACCTTGACGATGTCGGTCTTCATCGTCATCTTCACCAACTCCACTTTCATCTTCATTTAACAACAACGTCAGATTTTCCGAAACCATTTTTCTTGCTTGTAATTCTTGTGCTGCTTCTGGAAGTTCCACCATCATAACTGGCGGTTGGTGAAGTTTTAAAGCATTTTGTGCGTTATTTGTTTTTGATTCATTAAAATCTTTCCCACCACTCAACTCATTGAAAAAATTAATAAGGAATAAAAGTGAATCTTGATCAATATTCAAACGAATTGGAAGAAGTGAAATTCTTAAGCAACATTCTTGTGTTTTCAATGCTGGTTCTGGTCGAAGATGAAGTGCTTTTATCACCACCATGTGATGATTTCCTTGTCGTGTTCTAAATCCAACAGTTGGATGATATAAAAATTTGTTAATATTGGAAATCGCTAAACGATCGCGGATTTCCAACTCAGTGACGAGAAGAACTTGACGTGATGCTTGTTCGGTTGTTGTTGGATAAGTTTCATGTGAAAATCTCACTTTATTTAAATGAATTTCCATTAAAATGTCGTGTTTTCTTCCATAACCACCACGAGTTTTCCATGTGAGTTTCGTTTGATTTCCACCACCACCACCAAGTGTTAAACTTGGCGAGCCTTTTGTGTATGAAACTCCCATCTTGTAAACTTCTGACATTGGATAATTCGTGAAAGCTCGTCGATTACTGAAAAAGAAGAAAAAATAATTAATAAAATTCTATTAATAATAAATTTCCACTCACATCTCATCTCGTTCTTCTTTCTCCTTTTTCTTATCATCGTCATTCGGAAAATCATGCCCACCGAACATGTGCCACACCAAAGTCATTTCGCAAAGCGTGTAACGTTGTACAGCCATAGGAAAATCAGCTGGAGCTTTCAAAAGATCTGGTTTGCCATGTGGTGCGCTAAAATGATTATCAATGATTCTTATTGGATCATCAGTTTGTGCAACTTGAACATCGCCATATGATGGACGTTCTTCATCAGCAACAATACAAAAATCGTCATCTGAATCTGAACTGATTCTTCCTCTTGCAGGTTGCGGTCTTTTTGGTGGAGTTTCATACTTTGAAATATCTCCAAGATCCATTTCAACTTGCGGTAATGGATCAAAATCTTCAATTGGTTCCTTCAATCCGACCATCACTGACGACTCAAAGTCAAGTAGTTCGCGCATTTCTGTGTTGACACTTCCTGAATCTTCTTCTTCCTTCTGCTCAAATCGTCTCACGAAAATCTCTTCATCATCACGATAACTCGATGAATCGATGCTGATTGAATCTTCACTTGCACATCGCCGTTTATAACTGTCAGCTTTTCTCACCGCACCAAAACGAATTTCTCTCTTCTCTTGCTCATCGGGAAAGAAGAAAACATCTGTACCAAGATCAACTAACTCGTCAGAATCATCATTTGAGGTGTTGTTGATGTTTGCGTGATGATTATGTGAACTTGGGATGTAAATACTTTCTTCCATTGCATCAGCCATCAATGACTTCACATGATTTTGTTGTGTTTGTGTCACTTCAGGTGCAATTCGATCTGAAGTCTTCATTTGAAGTAATGGATCATCTTCGGGTTCATTAGATTGTGGCATGCTTGATGCTTCACTTCTCACTTCATCATTTTCTTGTTCATCTACCAAATCACCTTCCGATGCTAAATAACTGATAAACTCTAACAGAGCTTTCCCTGAATCTGAACATGTTCGAATATGAACATCTTTAATTGCAGCTCTTAAATCATATTTCGGTGATAATGGCGTAACTTTATCATTCAAACGTAATGATATCTCAAATAATCCCATTTCAGTGACACAAATTAACTCCGTTGATGGAAGTGAAGTAATTTTGTTCTCGTCATCTCTCTTCTGATTCTCATTTGTTGTGTTGAGAATTTGTGGTGCTAAAGAAAGTGTCGCATCTTCAGCAACAAATCTTAATGTACATCCAACACTTCCCGTCGCTATATTTGAACTTATCATGAAATTTCCAATTGTTGCTATCGCTCGAAATGGATAATGAAGTGGACGATAATCAATTGCACAATCCCATAAATGCAAATGAAATTCTGTTAAATTTGTATATGGCGTGTAACCGGGGACAATGTCTTCCTTAATATCAAACATATCCATGAGTTGTGTCAACCAAAGATGTTCAGAAAGCGTTGAGTTATGTCGCAATGTTGCCATTTGTACTCCAACAGATATTTTCGTTCGCTTTAATCCTTGATCGGGATTTGCTTTAATTTGAACAGCTAACGAGATCATGTCACGTTTTAATGATCCACGATTCTCATTGAGTGTTAAATTCTTTGGTGTTGCATAAAGTGTACTTTTCAACCAAGCTGGAAGACTGTAATAAATGTCACGTAACGGTGGATTCTGTATCGGCACTGGAAGTAATCCACAATGAAACACTTCCAAGTTCGCTGATTGAATGCAGAAATAACCAATATTTGAGTTGCCATGATAGCTGCTAACAGTGAAAATTTTTGTTGAATTAACTCGAAGAACGAACTCACCAAGTTGTCCCGGCACGACATGATTTTGTGTGTCTCTCACCGGTGCATACATTGTCATCATACCTTGACCAATATGAAGTTGAAATGACACTGAATTGCTGTAATCTTTCTGATAAATCGGAAGTAATTTCTTTCCACCACGATTTTTGTCGTTCATTGAATAAAAAATTTGATCATTGTCACTCTCACTCTCTGAATTTGTTGCTGATGAACTTGATTCGAAGTTTATCTTACTCTTACACATTGCAAAAGGTGCATACATTGAATCCATCATTCCAGCATTCATCAATGAATCTGGTGGCTTTTTCAATGTTATTGGAACTTCCGGTGGTTTAGCTTTCGGTACATTCGATTCCCACATAAGAATATCAGAAATTATTCGATTATAGATGACTTCATAAAGATGCTTTGATCTGTAGAATAAATTTCATTAATAATTTTATTTAAATCACAATGTCAAACTTACTTTAACTGAACGCTCACAACAGGAAGATCAACTTTGATTTGAATTTTAGAAAATTTCATTGCATTATCACAGAAATTGTTTATCTCATCACGATCACCAGGAATCAAAAGTGTTTCAGATTCATCTAAGAAATGAGAGAAAAAATATTTTAATATCTAATTAAAATAAAAAGCTTTCGAATGGGGAAGATCAAAAGCTCCATTCTTACCCCCTCAATTTAAATTAAGGGAGTGTGGGTATAAAACTTTCATTACCTTCATCACTCTTTCCATGAGGCGTGTCACTTTCTCTACACACTTTTTTTGTTCCAAAAGGCGTTGAATCCTTTGACAGATTAATTTTGATGCTATCGCCCGATGCTGGATCACTGTCAGTGTCCTCTGACTTTCGATTACTTTGCTCTCGAATAAAAGCTTCGTTCATATCTTGAAGTTGTTCATCGGTTGGAAATTGCACAACAATTCGGGGATAATCTGTCGATGATGGATAATATTTTCCAGATGAATTAACAAAGAACGAAGCTTTTGCGACATTAATAGGGGTTGCCTTTTCTGTTTCAAGATATTGAACAAGAATCTCATTTGCAATGACATCGTAAGTGCTTGGTGAAATGATGTTAAGTTGAAAATCCGAAAACTTGAAAACAATAAAATCTGTTCGAATGTTTCGTTGCCACCAAGGACGTTTCTCCGGATCATGTATCGGTCGCAAATCAACAATTGGAAATCGTAACACCAAATTAAATGTCTCTGACTGAATCTTTATTTTTGATTTTGATTGCACGATTTTTTGTGAATTCGGCGAAAGTTCATTGACGTTATCTTGATCAGATGACATTCCATCAGACATGAAACTACTGAATGGCGAAGAAAACAAAGCGTTAAGACGATCAAAGACTGAAATATCAAAGTCCAATTTTCCTGTTGCCAATGTGATGCCTAAATTTAGACGCGGCGCAAAATATTGTTTGCCTGTTGATCCCTTTAAGACATAAAGCGTTTTCTCCATTGTCACTGACACTTCAGGCATCTCCGGAATCATTGTCGTTGAATCTTTTCGATAAAATTCAATAATCGGAAGACAAAGATCACCAAGAATCTCATGAACATCAGCACGTGAAATGGAAATATTCAATTTCGTGCAATTTCCTTTCACTGTTCGTCTTTCCTCACCATCGACAATAACCGGAGCTAACATCAAACGAAGATGATTGTTATCACAGCAAGCGCTTCTTAATACACTTCCAATTTTCATCAAGTCACTTGTGTTGCACGTTGCAATTCCATCCGATACATAATTGAAGAAATGTTCACATTTATTTATCAACTTGTCAACACTCAACTCATTTAAAGGCGTCGACGTCACTGTCGTCGTCGTCACAAGAATATCATCATGTAGAATCACTAAAAATATTCCAGCTATACGAATGCTAAAATGTGAAATGTCAGCATTTTGATCTCTTTCAATTGCACGACGTCTTCGTGCTGTATTATGACTTCCCGCTGACGAAATCATCGAACTTGTCATTGATGAGCTGTTCGATGAGAAAACTGAATCACTGCTTACAGGTCGAAGTTTGTCTATAACATGAAGATCACGTGCACTTGTGAACTCTTGATTATGAAATCCATAATCATCACCAGACCATGTTTGATGTGTCATCAATCCACCAGCATAACGTCGTTGTTTCTCATCAATATCGGCTTTAAATGACATTTCATTGTTGTCATTAGCAACATTCGATGGTGTAGCTTCACCATTGAGTAGAATATCACAGAGAAGAAGCAACATGTGCATTTGGCGAGGCGTAAAAAAGAGAGTTAAAGCACCTATTGACATTTGAAGTGACACTTTTGGTCCCTCAACATTTTCAGTAAGTTTCATATTGATTCGAATCTCTTGTCGACTCAAAAGACGTCCAATAATTATCATTTTTGAACGATGAATGTAATCATCATTTTCAACGTCATCATCATTTTCATCATTATCGTCATTGTTACTTTCTTCTGTCTCACCATCATCACTATTCTCATCATTAACATTTGTGCTTCCACTTTCGTTGTAAAACATTTCATTGTCTGGTGTAAAGCTTGATATTGCACTTAAGTATGGATCTGTTGAGATCGTACAACTATTATTAAACGTTGTTGTGTCTTCAGGATTTATCGATTCATTTCGACTATGTTTTCTTTTATTCCTTTGATCACCTATCCGGAATTCTTCGGTATAGAACGTGATATCTTCAAGTGCAATATGATGTGTGTCGTGTGTTGCAAGAAGAATCGTTTTCTGATCATTTTTCTCACTACTTTCATCCTTCTGTTGTGCTTCACTACTCGCTTCGTTTTGATATTCAAAACTAAGAAGAAATTATTGAGAATTAATGTTTAATAAATTTTTTAATATCTTCTTTAATTACCTTTTAATTTTAATTATTAAAGTAACGCCGACATCAGAATCTTTAGGAAGATACTCGAGTCGAACTTCTGTGTTGATGAACTTCGCTTTTATTCGATTCAAAACTATAAACACACAAAAATTAGCAATCAGTATAAAAATATTTAAATAAGATTCTCACTGTTATCAATTGTAAGTGCAAACTTCTCCAACCCTTCCATATTTGATGAACTTTGAGCTGTTACCGTCTCTTCATCTTCATTTTTCTCTAGACATTCTTGCGCCAATTGCATCGAGCTACTCATTGAACTCCACATGGATTCAAGCATCGATGTACCTGCGCAAAAATAATAAACACAAATTAGCAAATTTAAAAATATTTCCAAGTTCAAACATCGCAGATTTTTAGAGAAAGATAATTTATGATTGACGTCATCTCTAGACATTTCAAAATAAATTTTCTCATTCATTGTTCGCGAGACTTTTATTAATTAATTAAAGTTGAAAAGAAACTTAATTCAACTTAAATTGTTAAAACTAAATAATTTATTCGTTTGAATGTGACCTGATTTGCAAATATCTGCGACTGTTTATCGTCACATCATTTAAGTGTGAATTAATGAACAACAAAAATAAAATCAGCGTTCATTGATCCCCAATTTTGAATGTTTATTTATGTTGTTCCATATAAAATTGCATGAAATAAAATGAAGAGATATGAAAGCTGATAGTCTGTATTCAGTTCATCCTTGACACGACTTTATTATTTTTTAATTTGGGTTAAAAGCAACGTTGAGAGATTAGAGAATCCGTCTGTGTCGTTTGTTTATTATAAAATGTTTTGCTAAGCTTAACGCAATTTGTGTTGTTGTTGTAGCTTTTCTTATCAACACGTCTCATTGAAACACGTTATATTGATGGGAAAAAATGCTTAACAAAATATTTGGAATGATCGTGAGAGAGAAAGATTGTTGTTTATCAATAATTGACACGTATTTGACAGCATCGAAACAGAATGTTCAAAAACGACTTCTAATGTTTACACGTGACGTCGCAAAAAAGCAGTCGCTTGAAATATTGTTTGTGCTTTCAAGCATTAGTCACTTCCGTTCGTCAACTTTAACTCGTTGAGTATAAAATTATTTAACATAAAGATCGTGGCAATTCCATTATGAGTTACTGAAAATACGTACCATCATCTTTAGCACGCGCCTGCGGTCGCAGACACAATCGTAAATCGCTGACTTCAACGAATGAGTCTTCTGACATCAAACAATTCCATGGCACGTTGACAGTTACAGAACCAATTTGGCCACTAGTCACCTCAAAGTCCCATCCTTGTGCTTCAAAAATGCTGTTTATTGCCTGTAATCAATTACATAGTAAGATTTGAAGAATTTTGTTAGTTTTGCACTCACTTTGTAAGAAGAAAAAAAAAATATTTTGACATTTTCAAATCAACGACGTAAAATTTTCGTCGCGGCCAGATGCGTAAATGTCTCAAGAATTTTATTTTTTTTCCTTTCGAGTTCGTTTGCTTATCATTGTCGTTCAAGGAAATACTCGTAATGATCTTAATGAAGTCATCATTCACACAGTTTTATTTTTCCGATAAATAATAGAATTAGTTTAGCAATATGACGTCACATAATGACAACAATTGATTTACTTCGTTAGTTTCGTTTTCCATTTGAAACCATCACCGAGTGCTTCTTTCATTTCATTTTAGATTCTGATCAAGGCCATCAGCTTATGTAGATATGCGTGCGATTCATTTGAAGCATACAAAATAAACAAATTTTCATTTTTTTTCTTTCGTAAATAATCTTGTAAAACATATGAGATCGAATATTTAGGTGAGAATTGCTTTTCCAGTTCGTGCGCACTTCTTTTACATTGTACAAAACACAAACAAGCGAAAAATAATTATTTATCGATGACATCAGTTAACAATGAAAAGAAAGACAAAACAATGTTTTTTATATGAATTGAAAACAAGCACAACACTTGATTATTATTCAAGCTTCATCTATGTTTATTTTATCGCCATTAGCCATTAAAATAACGAGTGTATGACAAATTGAATATATTCAAACGATTATCTTCTCCGTTTCTTCTCTTCTTGTTATTAAGAAGAGATCACGCATTCTTTTCCTGATTTCAAATGTAAGCTTCTAATAAGTATTGAGTTCATCTTACACGATTTAATTTACGTTTCGGAATTTTGTTCTATTTTTGGGATTGATGGTGAACTGGGTCGTGAGATGAGAAGATATCGCAAAATTTGCTTCCTAGTCTGACTAGATATATTTACATATAGAAGTGTTAATATGTTATTCTAAATTTTAGAGAAACATTTATTGCGAAAGGTCAATGGATTTATAAGATTCTTCGTTTTCGTGTTAAAAATAGAAGATGACAAAAATTTCAGATAACTAACAAGTTAAGACAAGTTTTCTGACAACTTTCATATGTTCATCATAAGTAAGATGTCTCTATCACAAATTGTAGACAAATTGAATAAAATTTAAGTGATATTTTCATGTTGTTTACAAATTTCTTACTTTAATTGCGAAAAATAAACGAAACGAATATCTTGACAAGAAATCAGTTGATTTTGTGACTAAGAGCAGCTGACAAAAACACGATTTCGCAAGAAATGCATATTATTAAGTATTGAGCATTGACACGTTTCATCCATGATGAGGTCACAAACTCTAACAATGAACTTGATCAATCAATAAAAAGTCAACAACAATTTTAAAGCCTAACACAATTTTTAAATGGGTGGGTTAAGAAATTAATTCATTTTGCAAACTTTGTGCGCACATCAAAAGGAGTACACATTTCTTTGTTCTAATTTTATCAGCTGCTCGCGACTAAAATGTTTTTTTTTCTAGTAATATTCTCGTCGCATGTCAATCTTATTTCTTTGTTCATGGATTCATGGAATATGGCTTTTTTTCACTCATACCAATAGCCATTTCAACACTTGGCTGGTAAGAAAACAAACGAACATATGAAATCGCAAAAAAAGAAACAAGTTTTGAGCGAAGGCAAAACAAAAACAACAAGAAAAGTTGTATATATGTGCAAAATAATCATCTGTTATTTTCTTGACCATTGTTGCAATCTTTCAAAGCAGTTTATAATTAATTATTTATGTTATGACTGAGTTCTTACCTCACAGCACAAATTCACATTGTAAACTGAACCTTTTCCATTATATAAATCTAAGCAGATTTGATCTGCAGTCAATTTTTCTTCAAAGAACCTTCCAAGGTATCTATTTATTAAGAATTTGCATACTCTCTTCTTTATGAAATCACTGAAACTGAAATCACTTATATTAAACCACGGCATTTTCGCTTTTTACCCTAACTTCACTATTTTTATTCAACGTTTATCTACATAAAATGAATTTTTCGTTCTGTTCTATTGAAATTGCGACTTTTTTCTTTCTTATACTTTTTCGCGTATTACAAAATATCGGATTCAAAGCGCGCTTTTAAGTCATTCTGAAATATAATAGAGGCGCTGTTTTGTTATTCAGTGTGAACCGTAGTACTTTTTGAACCACTACACAGCCAGCTGTTATTTTGAGCCGTTTTTCAAATATTATCAGTTTTCTTAATTTAAAGTTAGAATATCAATGTTAAATACATAATCTTTATTTAAGATATTTAATCAAAGCTAATTATTCGTCGTACGTTGTATGAACCAAAACAGTTAATTTTGTGAATAATTTATTTATTTACTAATATCAGCTGCTTCATAGAAACTAATGCCATCTATTATGTGTTTTAGCAGGATTATTTCAAATATTCCTGAAAAACCGTTAAAAACTTATATATTTGATATTTTAAATGTTCATTATTATTAATATTTAGCAAATATATAATAAAAGAAATTGTGCTTTTATTTTTTAAAATAAAGGATTAATCAAAACAAATATCTATCAACGTAATGAGAAACATTTTATTTACATTTTTACGTAAATGGTTGTTAATAATCATCTCTCTACTTATTGTCGTTCTCAGATATATATTCATTCAGATAGTGGGCGTAATCAAATAAGATTCTTTAGGGTCCATTTGATATGAAAATGCTTTGTACTCATCACAACAACACAAGAGAGTGCCGTAAATATTAATGAATATGTTTAAACCACTTATCTTCTCATGACATCAATCAGAAGCTGCAAAGCATGAAATCAGTTTTAACTGAAATGTTTTCATGTTTTGTCGCATTATTGGATTTATATTTAATGTTCATAGGCACTTCTAACTTTCTCTCTGTCTTCTGTCATATTTATGTTAACTGGTTTTTGTGTACAAACATAATTATAGGCTCATGTAAGGCAATTGAAAAAATATAATGCAAGGCAAATTCATATCTCCATACGAAGATCTTATTTTACCTGCAATACAGAAAGATTTCCTGTGAATCTCATTGTTGCTTTTATGCTTCTTTATTTTCTGATCTAAAAATATTTTCTAATCTTTTTTTCTCTTCTTGGGGAAGTTTATTTATACAGCACTCTTGTATGTTTCTGTTTTCATCATTTATTGGATTTCTAAAGTCACGGTTAGAGCAAATGGCATGAACAAAAAGCGTAGAAACTTAATGAAAGAAAAAAAAAGAAGGAATCTCATCTGTTGCGTTAGAAACAAGAGGCCGGATGGGTAGTTGAAGTTAGAATACATTTAAGATGACGGCCTTATTTCGATAGACGTTAATGGTAAGTCAAACACCACTCGGCGAATTTTCAAGGTGTTGAAGATTTGTGCAAACATAATAAAAACGCGTCTAATTAGTTTCTGATTGCGCAACTTTTTTTCGAATCTTGTGCAATTTTTCCTTGAATTCAGAGCCAGTCAAATTAACTTCAACACTTAAGGTACTAAACGAATAACAAAAGTGAAAACAGTTTCAAGTTATGCGGGAGTTGTAAACTAAAACTGAAGCCCACAAACTTTTCCTCAAACAATCAAAAAGCTACTTGAGAAAAACACCTTAAGAGCTTAAGAGGCGAATGAAAATGTTTTTAATTAAATAATTTTTAATTGCTTTCTGAAAGCAAAATTTAATAAAAAGAGCATTTTCACGAATTTTTTCTTTCACTTCTCAATGATTTTTTTTCTCTACTGCTTGCCACTGTTAAAAAAGCTTTTTGTGGCGTAGAAAATAAATTCTTTCACAAACACACACTTGAGAAAAATGCAAAAGCTTACATAGCATTCAAAAGTTTTTTTACAGCGATATTTTTTCTTTCATAACGTAAGTGAAGTTTTACGCCCATAAAAGGCTATTTAAGGGGGCTTAATGAATTCACGAGTAATGCTTTTAAAGCATAAGTAGCAGGAAAGAAAAAGCTAATCACTACATATTATTAAACTTTTTAATAAAGAAATAGCTGTTTTGTTATTTTGGAAGCATTAATCAAGAAAGGAACTCAAGAAAACTGTAAGAAATATGATGTGCCTTAACTAACTTACTCAACATTCGAATTGTCCCTACATTGCCTACGGTATGAATTATGAAATGATCAAGAACTTCATTAACTTTCGAAGCAAATATATTTTAAGAAAGTTTATTTACTTTTAAGATGTGCAACTTTTTGTTTTAGTCTTTTCGATTGGATTGTGTAAAACTTTTCATCGCCTTTTAAAATTTTATGATACTTTCAATCGAAATGATACTTTAAAAGTCATCACAGTGATTTTTTTATGTCATAGATTTCTTTCTTAAATGAAATCTTTTTGCATTTTATTATTATTTAAGTCATACAACGATTTCATGTTGCATAATCCCATGACGAAGAAAAGTGTTTTAAAAAATAATCCCCATCACAAGCATCAAACAAAATCTAAAAAATCTTTCAGTAGAAATTTTCGTGATCCTTTTTGAAGAGTCGCTCATTGACACTTATTTTATACTTTGTATTCTTTCTCAACATTGAAACAATTTTTTTCCTTTTCTTTTTGATGCAATCGAAAGTTCTTGAGACAATGTAAATTCAATTATTAATTGTAAAAGGTCTAAGAATAATGATTTTTCTTACAATTTTTAACAATGACCATCGGCGTTTGTATTGCAAAAATTATTCTCAATTTGTGAAAAGTCACGATGCAACTTGAGGGTGCTCTCTTGATTTCATTCTATGAATAGAGTTTTCCAAACACACTCCATTTCGGTGACAAGCTTATATAAAAGGAATGAGTTCCATGACAAGCATCATCATAAAAAGCATTCAAGTATCATTTCGTGATGTTTTATTATCCTCCTCGAAATCACCTTGTAGACTCTCGCTCTTGCTCTCCTTTTTTTAATTCCATCATCAAATAAACACCAGAAAAGAAACCTTCCGAAAATCAATAAAATCTTTCGTTTCACTGTCATGTTTTTATCAATCTTCGACAGTATCTGCGTGCACGAAGCGAAAAGCCGTTGAATTTTGTGCAATCATTAAAGTCCATGTGACAAAGAATCATATTATGGAAAACACATTTTTTGTTTCTTCAAGCGTCACATTTGGTAGAAAAAATTAATTTCCCTTTGATTCGAGAAGGCATATCAAACATACATAACATGGTACAGAATGATGGAAGAAATCATCAGGAATCATCATCCGAAGCTTCTGATTGGTTATTTTTGGTATGGAGAAAAAGTAAGCCACGCCCTTCTCACATCAAACTCGTTTGATGATTTATGGTGTATAGTTTTCAGCATCACAGAGTAGGAAGAACAAGGTGAAGCGTAAAACGTGCAAGGGTTCTCATCTATTGGATAAACGTGCTTATAAGGAGACTTGTGTGCGTGTAAAAACACCGCAAGAGTGGTGATAGTGTAAGTAGAAAAAAAATTATCCAAGCCAGTCGTAGCACTTACTTGTACGATGAGAATTCCTCTTATTTCACTTTTGAAATTCGTGTCGAGTGGTTATTTTTCTTTCTCTCGCGATAGTTTTTCGTATTATTTTTCAATAATCAAGTAAAAGATGTTCTTGTGGTTTAAAAAATATGTTCGCGGATACTTTTAAAAAATGAAGCAAAAATCAAGTGAAAAAAATTATAAATCTTGAAAAACTTTCGCATGTCAAAAGAAAGCGATTGAACACCACCGCTTCGATAATCGACAATGTAGGTATAATTGACACTACCTTGGTAAAAAAAAGTGGTCTATTGAGAGTATTTATCTGAAGGAGTTTAGAATTGTGAAGACTATTGAGATGCAATCAATAATAGTTGTCGAGTAAAAGTGGAAAGTTGTTGAAAGCAATTCTCGTTTGTCAAGGATATTTCGGTGTAACAGTAACGAGATTGAGAAGTGCGCTTTCTTAATTATCTAATCAATGAAAAGTGAACTTTGAATAATTATTGTAAAAATTAAGAATAAAGAGAAAATTAGTGAAAAATATTTGAAGATAAAAATTTATCAAATTTCATTTTTAATGAAAAATATTTGTTGATTAAAGGAAAAATAAAATTATCATTAGAAGAAAGAAATCATAAACATTTAATATTCCACGTTTCGTTTGTTCATGTCAACTACACTGACGAACGATTCTGGAAACTTTCCAGACGATCCCGATACTGAACAAGGATTATTGCCCGATTTAAATGGCGTTGATCTGGTTATGAGCTTATCTCCTAAAACCAATCAGCATCTACAACATTTACAAACGCTTCAGCATAACTCATTACACAACATCAATAATCATTCGACACCTTTCTCTGTGACTGATATTCTAAGTCCCATCGAGGAATATCGCAAGCTGGAATTGAATCCGCCGTCGCCTTACAGGTACGATTGCCAATCAGTGAGGTGCGATTCGAGTGATCTCGTCATGTGATTTTTTCCACTAAAGTTTCTTCATTAAATTTACAGATCGAACTCAAGCGGATCTAGTGTAAACTCGCCAAGTGCTTTAGGTGGTAGTAATACGAGTAATATGGCAAATCCGTACGCAATGGGTCCGTTGTATCATAGCCCTGGTGTTCAAAGCTATTGCACGCCAACCGACAATTTGTCGCTTGCTGGCCACTACACAGATATGAGAAGTTCTGCAAGTTGGTATGGTTCGACAGCAAATGATCCAAGATTCGCCAGTGAGTATTATTTTTTATTTCATAATATTTATCAATGATTATCTACACTCTCAAAATCGTCATCTGTGAATGAAAAATATTACGCCTTTCTGACACGGATAACAACTTCAAAGCATCATCACTATAAAAATATTTTTTTCTGTTAAAGAGAGAACCTTGTAGTGAAGTGGAAATTCAAGGCTTTTCATGATGTTGCAATTGCAATTCATTGCGATTTATAAAAATAATAATGAAATTAAAGATACACAGCGAGATAAACAGAAAAGTAAAGAAAAATCAATAAAACTTCAACTCCAACTCCACTGAAAAGATGAAATTTTCATCTTTGATTTTGTTTTTCAAACTTCGATCACAAATTTGTTTGCTTTTTCCATCTTATGAAAAGCTATCGTTGGCATATTTATCGTTGAATTTCCATTTAATTTTTTTATGTTGTTTATCATATGAAAAAAAGCATTTTAAATAAAATCACGAGGCTCAATAAAATGCAAATAAAAAATCATTTTGTAAATTCAGCAATATAATGGAGGAAGAAAAATGTAAATTTGATTGCGATGCAAACAAAAGTAAAGAAAAAAAAATTGTTCAAATATTTTCATTTGATTCCGGTAGATTTTTTTATACAGAACAGGAAACTCGCTTTTAAAGTCAAATCAAATTGATTCCTTCATTTTGAATGCGAGAAAATTATTTTCATTTTTGTTTCACTTTTGCTCCATTTTGACTTTACTTTATTCATCCCCTCATCTCCATCAACAAACATTCAAACATTGGCAGAAGGAAAAACTTTGCGTTTATTTTTTCTCCTCGAATTTTCAACGAGAGAGGAAAATTTTTCAATTAAAATTTCAATGAAAGGAAAGCATAATGTAAAGATGCGAATGAGTTTTTCTTTCTAGAACACTTTACGAATGTTCCTTTGCATAACGGTTAGTGTTATAAATGGGTGCACATTCAGCTTGCTTTATAATAAGCACTCATTTTTCTCATTATTTTATTTGCTTTCATTTTCACGTTGTCACTTTTTATAAGCTCAACTTTTTACACACTTTTATGATATTTCTCGTGCACAAACGATTTCATCTCATCCTACAAAATGACGTTCACTATTTAATTCATCACGTTTAAATTCTAGAAATTAATCCAGAAAGTTTCTATGAAATAGTGAAATAATGATTTGCGGTTTAGTGATTTCACAAGTGGGTGGCTTTTATTTCCAATTTTTTAAACTCATAATGCGACGATGAAAAATTTTATTTCAAATCAAATGAAATTTTGTGAACTGGAAATAGTTTTTTTTTCAATCCTTGACGCCCTAACGGATGCCGAAAACTTTTCATTCCATTCATTCCAGGCTTCAAAATCCTTTTCACAGAATAATTCTCAAGTGGTGAAGCATTCTGGTGAATTTTATTTGTGAACTGAAACGCAAGGATTAATTGAAAAGATTATTTCTGTGAACTTTGGTTTCGTTGACAATTTGAAAATAATTGAATTAAAATATCTTTTATTAGCTGTTAACATCGAGCTTAATAGTCATAAAAATGATCCTTTAAAGATTAAAATTTCATTGATTGAATAATACAAAATGGCGCAATCTTATTGACTTAAATTTCTCACTCTTAAAACATAAATAAAAGTTTCTCTCAAAGAAGAATATTATGAAAAGCAAGCAAAAAAGTTCTATTTACTTCACGTTAACCGCAGCAAGCCACTTAAGAGCCGAGAAAGTGGAATTTACATTTCACTGTTGAAGTGGTTGCTACCGATACTGGAACTTAAAAAGAAAGAGAAAGATTTCCTTGAATAAAAATAAAAACCTGCATTCTTTAGAAATAGTTTCATTCCAATTCACTGTGATTGTGTTTAAGGCGTAAATTCTGGTGTTGAAAAGACAGAACGAAATTTGAAATTCGATATTTAAATCGTTTCGTGTGGAAATTTAGCAAAGTATTTGATTAGAATGAGCCACTTATTAAGTCGATACATGCGTTTCTGGTAATTCAAGACGACTTAAAAAGGACGACAAATAGTTTCATAGAAAGATTTTGTCGAAGTCAAATAATAAAAGGAATTTGTTGGGTAAACAAACCACACATAGAGAAGTAAAATATCAAATTTCATTTCTGGCTTTAATTTTCATGTATAAAACACTAATAAATTAATTCAATGATGTTGAAGGTGTTTTCATCACCATTCAAACTTCCATCATTATAATTAAATGGATAATCGTTGGTTATGTGTCTAAATAAGCTTAAATTCCACCAATTCCCGCACGTCTCACTCTACAATAAAAACTTCCATTATTGAACAGTTCAATGAAGGGAAAATTAATTAAAAATAATATTTTCATAACATTTCATTAAATATTTATAATTGATTCACATTTCTCTTCTGATTAATCGAAAATATTTCATTGTCCCTGCTTTTAAATATATTTAACACCCACAAACCCAAATCATCACACATTGAATTCTTCATTTTGTGTTTAGTTTATTTTCATGTCATCTCTTCATTATCTCGATTTAATTGAGCGTCAAATATAATTTTTATTGTGTTTGTTATTTTAAGTAACATGGATGGGAGAACATTGAAGAGTTTGAGGGCGTGTGACGGTGTAAGATGCGTCTTAAGTAGGGAGATTTTTCTATTGATAACAATAATAACAAGCCTCTTAAACTGATGTTAGAGAAATGATAGTTGAAAGTGGTTGGAAAATGTGACACCATCTGATCAAGTTTCCACAATTGACATACATTCATAATTTTGTTTTTCCCTTCTACATAACCACAGAAAAGGCATAGAAGTCAGACGCGCGTCCTCTACGGTGCTTGTACTTGAAGAGTTCTTTAATTAAGCATTACGACATGAGAGTTGAAGTTGAAGGCAAAAGCAGAAGCATGAAAATCAATAAATTAAAGAATCGATTTGGAAAATAAAAATATGGAAGAAAATGTCATGAAATTTTTATTTTCCAATCATGGCTAATCATCAACAAAGCATGATCATTGCAAATCCCTCCCTCTAATGATTCACTCAACTAGACCCTCATTAAATTCACCATCATTGCTACCAGTCAGCAATCATCAATTTCTATTCAACATCAGCGATATTCTTCTCTTGGGGTTGATTGAAATAATATTATTTTATTCTGTAATTGTCAAGACCTTATGTTCAGAATTTCTTTTCTATCTTTTTTTTATTTCGGGGTGCTTTACGTGCTATTTGTTGATGTCGAATGCGAAATAAGAAGAGAAAAAAATAGAGAAATAATCAACCTTTCGAGAGCAAACGCTGTATATAAGCTGTTTCGAGAATCCCTTTTCTTTATGTTTGGAATTCAAGGCTGTCAAACTGCTTCGAATGCAAGCTCTTAAGTGGGCACTTCTGAAGGAGCGCGCGATAGGGGGAAGAAAGAAAGAGACAGTGACATGTCGTTGCGTCATTTAAAATACTATTTCCGGGCTTTGTGATCGTTTACCACACATCATTTTGTTGCGATTAAATTTATATCGTTTTGAATGTATATAAAGGAGAATGAAAGAAAAGGAATCATTAAATAATGATGAGGTTGAGTTTTACGCTTTAATAAAAATTGAATAAAATTCACTCAACTCAAGTCGTTTTCCAACAGTCGGATAGCAGTCGTTTTGATTGTATTCGAATCGTTTTGGGTGAATTACATACATTATGGATTGAAATATGTTGGTCATGTTGTTATGATGAAATGAGGGCGATTGAGACGGATAATTGAACGATTCAGTGGCGAGTATTTAAGATTCTTATCAGTTGAGTTCATTAGCTTTTTTTATTTGATTATTTCAAGATGCTTTGAGTGCTTAAGAATTGGCATTCAATTGATTATTTATTGTATTCCAAATATGAGAAATTTGAGACGATGACGATGATGATGATGATAATTTACAATCGTCGTAGTATTAAAAAGTTTAAAAGTTTTTAGCAGCAATAAATATCTTCAATCCACTTCTCTTTTCATTCATATAATCTTTTTGTTATAAAATATTTTTTGTTCCGTCGATCAACCAACATTTCATCAAATATTTTTCTTAAATTCTGTATGTGTTTATCTTATGAACGATGAAAAATAATTTGAACACAATGGAAAAGCCTTAAATAAGCAAAGGCAATCCTATGATGGAAGACTAAATTGAAATGAGATGAAGAATGAATCGGAGAAATTCTTGAAATAACAAGAAATACCTCAAGAATAAACAAAACTCTTTTTTCTGTCATTTTGTGGTTGCTTGAAATATTTTTGTGGAAGCAATTACACAAGACATTCCAAATATTGGTTCACTTTTTTGGAGGTTTGTTGTTAATTAAGGGAGCGTTTGAAAATGAAGTCAACAGAAGAAGTATTGAAATTGTTTTGATATGATACATAAAATATAAATTGATTTCAAAATATTCAAATTGAGATATAAAATTCTTATAAATAATGTAAAACAAAGATTCTCGTGTGGGATAATAAAATGTGATGCAAAAATGTTTCAAAATTTGATACATGTGTGAATGAAGAGATATCAGATTTTATATTGAACGATTGAAACGTGACAAATCATATAGAACAGGACATTATCCAATCTTCGATTCGATGAGAAAGGTTTTTCATGTGAATCAATATTTATTGAAAGCAAATTGAATAAAAGTTTTTTGATGTGTAAGAAAACCGAAGATATTTGTTTTGTTTTACATTCAATTAAAGAATGAAGGAATTTTATTAAAATATGTTTGAAGATTTTGTAGAATGATTGAATGATTTCTTTAATAAAAAAAACTTCTGCGAACTTGAATGAATGCCCACACTTCTGTCAGTTGATAATTAAAGAAGAAGAATATAAAAATCTTCTTAAAAGAAATTCTTTGCAATCAAATTACAACAATTTAGATTCATGAGTTCGCATAATGTAAATGACATTTGCTTTAATGCATTCTAAAATAGAAGAAAAAGGAAAGATAAATAAATAAATATTTCAAAAAGCAAACACAACACGGAGAGAGTTTTTCTGGAAGATGAATGAAAGTTCAGATGCTGGAGAAACTCCGCAATATCTTGTGATGATGGAAAGATGGGAATAAAAGAAATGGAATATGGTGAAAGAAAAATATTCGGTTTTTGCTAAACAAATATTTACTTAAATTGAATTGTCCGAGCATTTCTTTATTCAAATATTTTTTCGCACAAAGCAGATTCAACTTGGGGCTCGTTTATGCGTTGCAAACTCTGAAATTTCATAAAAAAATAAAGATAGACGGAAAAAAATCAGCTTTCAACTCCAACTCTCCGCTAGTGATAGTAAATAAATGCCATGTCATCTCAATCATTCAGAAACTGCCAATATATCTAAATTATAAAATCAGTCAACGATGTTTTAGCTCTGCATCAGCAAAAAATAATCCAACGTTGGTTATTGAATTGAATAGCAATTTTCTCTGGCTCTCCATCTCTCTCGGTTTCTTCTTTTATTTTTTATTTTATGTGATTGTCAGCATTGCAATTTCAAAAGCAAACACAAACCGCGCGACTATGACGAAGGAAATAAAATTTAAGAGCAATTTAAATATTAGAAAAAAATGATTTTCGTACGAAAATTTGTTTATGCAAATTTATTCTAATTACGATGTTATTATTCAACTATGTCTACCAACGATGAAAACAGAATTTGTACAACAACGTAAAGAGACAGATATGCTTACGCTGAAGATATTATGAAGTCATAAATTCACATGATGATTATTTGAGAGCACTTCTGAAAAGCCATCGAGGCAAATGATAATAAATTAAAAGACGACTTTGAGATGATAACGCCATGACATGATATTTATTCTTCTATTTTTGTTTACAGTTACAAGGTTAATGGGCGGATCAGCTGGTGGATCAATGGGACATGCTATGTCAAATATGTCCGGATTAGCAGCATGCAACGTGAGTGATTCAAAGCCAATGCAATTCCCGCTTACTCAACGTCGCAAACGACGAGTTCTTTTCACACAAGCACAAGTAAGTTGAATATTTAATTGTCCCGTGCTCAAAAATGATCAAACAATCCAGTAGATATAACTGCTTCATGTCTTCTTATAAATATTGATTGTCAACGCGTAAAACTAGAAGTTGCTAGCCGGCACATTGTTGACAATTTGTTATGTCACCAAAAAAAAAGAGAAAAATTGAAAACTAAATTAAAGAAGACTAGAAAGAAGTTAAATATTGAATGTGATGATGGAACAATGGAATTAGAACTTCTTTGAGATCAATGAGAATTGAGAAGCCTCTGACAAGAGATGAAGACATCTTGAGATCAGAATTCATTTCACACCTGCGAGTGCGATTCATTCGAAATCACTTGAGTGAGAATAAGAAAAAAAGTTTAAACAATTGAAAAGCTTTTAAAAGCTTTTCTCGTTGAAGTGTGTTATGTCAATATATGCAATATAAACTCATTGAATTATTTCTTTGAATTAATTTTTGAGAAAATTAGTTTAATAAACTCTTCAATGATTTGTTCTCGACTCGAGCGAATGAAAGCTAAAATTTTTCATTACAACAAAACTCAATTTTAATCATCAACATACGTCGCCCTTCTTTACTCGTTAACGTGTATAAATCTTTATTGCTGTTGTTGAATCGTATCTATATTAATGTGACGTCGTATTAGTAAAAACTTGGCATTTTAAGTGCTTGGTAAATAGACAATTCTCTTTCGTTTTTCTATGTTTTTTCTTCCCTCATTGGACTACCTCGAAATGGTGAACATTTCAGGAAAGTAACACATGAAGATTGCTTTATTTATCGTTACACGATGAGCATCTAGATATTTGTTTCGTTATTTTTATTGCTGTTTGCAGTGATTTTAAGTAGTTGTTTACAGAAGCTTTTTGTTTCGTCAATGGACTGGCGAATGAAGAAATGAATGACGAGCGGATAATTAGATTTTTATTAGATATTTATTTGAAGACTTAACTAACGAATGAACCGACGGCAAATATTAATTTTCTTACTTCATCTTCTTCTTTCAGGTGTACGAATTGGAGAGACGATTCAAACAGCAAAAGTACTTGTCAGCTCCTGAAAGGGAACATTTAGCAAGTTTAATTCATCTAACGCCTACGCAAGTAAGTTAACATTTGAATATTTTAATACGACAATTATCTTCATCATTTCTTTTTCTTACTTCTTGTCATTGGTTGTGTTGTTTTAAACAATGACAGAAATCAGTGCAAGCAATGTCAAGTTAACTTACATTTCTCTCTCTTTACATTACATTAATTATTTAAACACGTTCTGTCAACTGCATACAAATGACGATAATTATAATAAATAAAGAAGAAGCGATGAATCAACAAACTTCCTTTGTCTCTAATGCAGCGTGAAGAAATATTCGTTTTTAAATTGAAAGTTTTTTGCGTATAAAAGCTTTGCGAAAAAGTTGTTTTGTGTCTGTTGAAACAGAGAAACATAAAAAATGCATTTTGAAGAGCTCTTTCAATTATATAAGTTAAGATATTTCAATGACTGTTTATGGAGTAAATATGTGTTGTTACTTCTTGTTCGCTCAGACAATTCTTTTTCATTCTTTCAACGATCGATTTGGATTGCACATGTAGACACATAAACACAGATTCTCGATCTCAACTTATGTATTTAAGTCTTTTTCTTTTTTATTTGAAGAGCATAAACAGTTTAATTTGATTTTATTAAGACCTGATGATGTGGCTATCAGAAGTGATGGAATAACAAGACAGTTGAAAGCTTAAACAGAGATTTGACAGCGATGTGATTAGTTGCGTCATGTCTTGAATATGTACAAAGCTTAATAATGTATGAAAGAAATCGTTAAAGTTTCACATGATAGCTTCATTAAATAGATTTGATTTGAGATAAAAAATGATGAGAATTTCATTGAAAATTCTGAGATGATTGCGATGGCTGTAACGAATCAGGAATTTTATGAATGAGTTTTTAAACAAATAAATTCTTTGAAGAGATGTTCTATCTAAGATGTCGTAGATGAAATTAAAGTTTCTATTTAGTTAATCTTTGAAGATGGAATATTAAAATCGGAAGGAAATTTGACTAACAAATCCCAAACATTGCAATCCTCAAAGTTTTGTTGTTTTTTAAAAAATTATTTCAGCTTCTAAGACCTAAAAGTTAATCTGTTTTTACAACATTAGAAATCCTATGAAAACAGAATAAATTAAAAGGATGATGGAAGCAAACATTTCATTCAATGCATGACTCATTATAAAACAATAATAAAAGTTTATTCAATTAATTTGCAATCAAATTCAACAAATATTTATTAAGCACTTCATAGACTGAAGTTATTTGAAACTTTTCATAACAAAATTTTTTTGATTCAATAAAAATTGATGAAAGAGAATTATGGCAAATAAAAAATTATCGAGAACTATTTCCATCTGATTGAATATCGAGTAGATGAAGCTACGAGACAATGGATAGGATCAAGAATGAACCTGCATAAATCTTTTCGAGTGAATCATGAAGAATAACAAACATCGATAATCCTTAAATTACTCTCATCTCTTTTATCTTGATGCATACCTCGAAATAAACTACAAATTCCCACACGAAACATTTCCACAGGATGTTATGAATGATGAGGTCAAAAACTTAGTGGTTAAGAAAGAACCATGTGGGACTAGCAAACCATTCATCACAGCACAAGCAAAGCGAGTTCAATCAGATAGAAAATTATTATTTTTATCGTACAAAAGATTTCAATTGAATCAAGAAAGAGAAAAATGAGTTTCAAAGAAATCGAAATTGTTGTATAGAAGATAATCTCATTTCAGTGGCTCACATTAAACTTAAACATTTATTTACCTTTTGGCACCCTGTCGCTTGCTAACATTTATTGATCTAAATTTATGCTTGTTCACACATTCTTCTCCTTCACCATCGTTGACGTGAATAAAAAATATTTTCCTTTTCTCAAACACAAAATCTCGGGAGGGGTGACGACAGAAATTGAAGGAAGAAGCAGAAAAAAATTTCTGTTTATTATGTGTGTACATGAAATTTGAATAAAATCGACTTGCAGAAATTCGTAACGATCGGGGATGAATTTTCCTTTCCGAAGCGGAAAATATTCACACTAAACAATGTCAGGAAATGTTGTGATTGAATCTCAATCGCATGATAATAGCAGAAATCTGTTTTTTAACCATATTACAACCTAAACATTGCCCTCCGGCTTTATACATTTACTCACAACCATCACACGCATCATTTAATCGAGAACAATGTCCTGGCTTTTGTTATTATGCTTCCCTTTGTAAGAAGAAAAATATTTTTACACAAATTCAAACCAATTCGATTTCACTTTATTGATAAGAAAAAAAACGAAGTTAGTGAGAGAACAAAAGAATTTCCCAAAGCAACAAAGTTGAAAGAGACCCCGAGGAGTTGAAATCATTTCAATAAACAACACAAAAATGAAACTCACATCTCAGTTTCATACACGATCAACGAGTAGTTAATCATCATTTGATTATTGTTGTTAAATTCTCTTTCATTACTTATTTTGGTTGTTGCTGTTTGAAAGAAGGAGGCGGGCATGCGGTGGTTATTTCATCAACACCGCCGATGGGCAGGAAATTGATTGTTGTCTGTAATTGTCGGCCTTTGAAATCGATACGTCAATTTACCATTTTAACTTACTTATTTTCCAATTCATTGATCCACGTTCTTTCTTTCATTTAAGGTGAAAATTTGGTTTCAAAATCACCGCTACAAGTGTAAGAGGCAAGCAAAAGAAAAGGCCATGGCCGAACAGAATCAACATAATCAGGTAAAGTTAACTTTTATACTGAACACTTTAAATTCAAAGACTTCTTGTTTGCAAAGTAAATAAAAAAAAAATTTACGAAATTCTTCTTGATTTTAACAGTCGTCAAGTTCACCTCGACGTGTTGCGGTGCCGGTGTTGGTAAAAGATGGAAAGCCATGTTCTGGTAGCTCGAACTCGACACCTGTTCAACAACATTTGACGTCAAGTGGATCCACAATAGGCAACTCATCATCAAACACGATTAATTTAATTAATGTGGGTAGTGGAGGTGGCGGGGATAGCAGCGAGACGGCAACATCAAACAATCAACATTCGCCAGTCGATTCACCATCGACTACCATCTTGAGTAGCTACAATAGTAGCGGCGGACATCAACAAATGCTTCAGCAGCCGTGCAACAACACTTTAATGTCAAATAGCTTAGCGATGGCTTATCGGAATCAGAATAACTTTATGAGTAACAGTCATCAGCAGCAGCATTGTGGAAGCTATCTGCCACTTCAAGGAAGGGCCTGGTAATATTGGGACTCCGCTTCTTTCAAACGTGAAAGGGATGACGACGACAATGGCTAATGGTTCACTTGAAAACATTCAGAATTGTATGTAATTAATGATAAACAATTAAATGCGTAGACATAACCCGTGAATTGATTAAAACCATTTTAAAATTAAAATATTTAATGATTAAAAATGAACGATGTTTGTTAGTTGAATCGATGACATTGACATTCAAATCTAAATCATGATAAATAATTGAAGAAGTGCTGAAACTTCAAAGTTTTGAAGTTGGAGAATAAACTTAAAGCGACGATAAGAAAGTACAATTTTCAATTTCTATCTTCAGTTTCACTTCTCTTTCTTTCCCCTTTTTAGAATTAACATCGATATTTGCAATAACATAAGAAATCGGGGATTTCATTTGAATTCACAATGAAACAACTTTAAATGCTATAATCAAGCTCAAAAATATCTAAAATGAAAAATGTAAAACTCCACAAGAATTTCTATCTCATAATTGAAAAGTTTTTTTAGGCAAATTGAATGATGCAGGGTAATTAAAAGTAATTAAATTTCTTGAATATTAAAAATGAAAATAAAAAGATTTCAATTTGGGTGAAATGAAATATAAAACAAGTAGTTTATAATCGCATGGAAAATCATTTGAAAAGCTAAGTATGTAAATATTAACTCAACAAACATTTGCAAGCCAGCTTGTAAATATTTTACAGAGAAATGAAATTTCCCGGACTTTTGAATAGTGGAGTATAATTTAAGTAATTAATTAATTAGCATAACAATTTAATTATGTAATGGTTTATAAGTTTCCATAGTTCATTAATAAATAATTCCGTTAGTTAAAGGTCTTAATAAAAAAGAAAGAAAAGGAACAAAAACCAGAATTGTAATTTTTGCAAAACACTAAAAAAGAGAAATCGTAACAATAAAATGAAATTTAATGAAAAATTAAAGGAAAACTTCTTTTTAATGTTTTTATAGCGAATGAAATTTTATAATTTTTGATTAAAGGGAGTTAAATGGGAGTCAAACTGCCCTTCCTTGACGATCTGTAATCAATCAAGAAATCGAATTTTCCCTGAACTTCTTGTCTTTTTCCTAATTTTTTTCTTTCTTCTTTCCACATTTAAAATTTATCTTAAACTTATTCAAATGTTTAAGCATAAATATCTACATAACAAAAGGGTGAAAAGCGGCTATGAATTTAACGCTGTCAATGAAGCTTCTCTCAAGTATTTCGCATACATTTTAATATTCATGGAGATTCTTTTTTATTTTTCGGAAGAAAATGGATTCACCCTCGTCTTTCTTTTCAATTCGATGAAGAATAATACGAGAGAAAAAAAGTTTTCATCATGAAACTCTCTTCGTTATCTCGAGCAATAAATCTTTGTCTTTGTCTCCGTGGAAATTAGTTTTCTTGATCGCAATGGAACCACGAAATTTGGTGAGCTTTGTGATGACATAATGGGCGGTGACAAGACAAAAATGTTAAATTATCTCTATTCAGTGACACTGAAAGCCATTAGACTTCTTTTCCCTTCAGCATTCAGCCAGCATTCAACTTCGCTCTTAAAGAATGTGAAATTCCACGAAAATCTCAAAGGAAAATATTTTGTTTGTTGACTTTTTAAATAACATATGAGAAAGACATAGACAGAAGAAATCTATTGGACCTACCTGAAAAAACATCGAAGAGATGGAAAGAGAAAAAAATATGGAATTGTAGAAATAATAATAACAGTCATTGTTTGAGGAAAGATTGAAATGGTGTCGAAAGTCAAAGATGATGATGAAAATGACAGCAATAAGACACACATCACAAATTAAATAAAATTAAATAAAGATTTCTTAATGTTATTTTACGCGAGAAATATGATTCAGCATCTTTTGATTCGTAAAACGTCTCAGACTCTTCTTCTTCTCCTTTTTTAGGCTCATTTTGTATTTGCTCAAACAAAACAGTTTCATGGGCTTTTCTCGTTCATCGTATAAGATAATAAAGTAAAAATTATCTTGAAAATTGAAATTTATTATGAGGCGCTGTTATGATGTGAAAATGAGTCTTACGATGATTGACGGTCGACTAGATTTATTTCAATTTAAAAATAAACTTCAACACACCATTTAAGAATGTTAAAGTTTAGTCAACCAACATACCAAAGCAATTGCACACGTCAACAAACAATCAACATTATTATTTTGATAAAAAGTCATTTAAATATTTGAGCAAGCTTAAGATTTCAACAATGAATGTCCAATGATTTGTTTATTCATTTTAATCCCGTTCATAAACATTTCAGAATCTTTCTTCAATTTTAGTCAATGATGAAAAGCGGAGAGATTTCACGAGAATAACGACGACGACGATGACATTGTTGGTCGTGATGGGATGATAGCGCACGTGACCTTATAATGTTGCTTTGCTTTTCGAAAATTTTAATTGGAGTTTCTATAAAATTGAACTAATGATGTGAGCCAAGTGCAAAACCTTTACCATAAGAACGATGAACATGAATTTATTTAACGTCCATTTAAGTGTCGTCCATAATGATCATGGAATTCTTCATCATGCAATGCCAACAATCATAGAACTTTGTTGAGTGATGATGAGTTGGAAAATCGTCAAGTCATTCTGATTCCACTGAATCAGTTATTGGATTATTTGGATATGTTCAAAGGCCAAGCAAATCATTTCACTTCAAGGGGAATTTCTCTCATTTCTGCTTAGCTTCAACCAACCATCGACCACACACCATCATTACTTATCTCAAACATCGAGAAATGCTTGTAAGATTATAACTTTTTTTTGCTCTTCTCTGCATTTATTGAAACTCATTGTGGAACACAAAGTTGAATGTATTTTCAGTGCCTGAAGATGATGGAGGCAGGCTTATAAATACATAGTGGTTTTATTTTACAATTGTTTTGTGTATGATTTTTGCCTTCGAACAGGTAAGAAAAAAATCAATATCCACTCGATCGAGTCATTTTCATTGTGATGGAGTTTTGATTTTGAGAGCGAGACGAAAATTCAGTTCGATAATCCTCTGATATGTCATTGATTTCATGTCATTGTTAAGTCACCTCCAGCCCACACAACTTTGTCAAATATTGCTATCAATGATATGGTTGAGTGCTCCTTTCTTTATCGGTTTTAAATACTGTTGAATACTTGAAAATGGATTGCAGTCATTTATAATCGAGAGGTTGCGACAGAAATTTCCTTTTTCTTTTCACTGTCTTTCCTATGTTAACTTAAACATGCAATTGAAGTTTATGAAAGCGAACTAAATGCAGAAATTTCACATAAAGACGAACGTAAAGTGATGAAAGTTCAAAGAGCGTTCAATTGAAAGGAATTTTCATAGAAATCAACATTTTAACGTGAATAAATAATAAGAATAATCTCTTCTGAATTTTCAATTGTTTTCGTAATCCCTGCTTGAAAATATTGATCTTTTAATAACATATTTTTCTCTCATTTATATCTTGAGTAAGTTGAAGTCACATTGAAAAAGATTTAGTCTCGATTCGATTTAAACCATCAATTGCTTTGCTAAGTTGATAGAATTAAGTCTCGTTTAATTCCTTCCGTTACAAATCGTAGTAACATCGCAACCCTCTTAAACCCGGTAAAAATATTCTGTAATGAGCTATGACTATGTTCAATGATTTTATGAGTTTATTGTGCTTCATTAAACTCAGCTTTCATTTTACGTTTTAGATATTTAATTTCAAAAACCATTACAGCTTTCAGGTGTAACAAAGAGACAAGAATCATTCAGATCAACTTCATTCCCTCTCAAAGCAAATCTTTTATTTTAATAAATAAAAGATTAGAGCGTCACTAATCATTCGTTTAAATTATCACAATGGAATGAAAAGAGCGCGTGGGAGGGGAAAGAGAGCAATAACAATCATAATTTTATTTGTTTGTTAACCTGCCTTTTGCCAGAGAAAACATTCACTGAGCCACGTGCGCATCTTACAGAGGGTGAAGGGCGCGTGCAAATCACAATATTTGGTATTTGCTTAATTTTCTCGATGATTTATAATGAATTTATTTGATCGAAATTCTTTCGTGATATCTGCTGCTGCTGCTGTTGCTGATGGTTATAAATTCTCAACAATCAAAATTGTTTTTCCGTGATGATAAGAAAAGAATCAAAAATTGTTTCATTCATTTTTCTTTTCTTTCTACCTCATCTCTCAAATCGCTCGTTCATCATTTAAAAAGATTTTTTTATATTTCATCACTCATCAGGTTACATGTAACATAAAAAACATGAATATCACAATTAAAATAATCTCGTACGTGACTTAACAATGGTAAGCATCTTAGTTTTTGTTTTAATATTTCCTGTTTAACAATGCACGCAAATTTTGACTGCAAAGGCTTGGGGGATGTGGGAAGCGACGACTATGAATGAAAAAATATAAAAACACTTCCGTAGTGGAGTAAAAAAAATTATCCATGAAATTTCACTTCTCAGGTCTCATCTGAACCTTTATTTGAGATTAAGCAGATTTTTTTTATTGTACGTGATTCAACGTTTGAAATAGTCAAGTGATGTGCTTCACTAAACTTCATCTTCTCTAATTAATTCTTAGCTCGAAAGCATTTTAAAATCACGTAGAACCTTCTCATTTGATGAGACTTCATTATTTTTCCACAATACTAATTGTCCAAAGCTCTCGAAAGAAAAGTTTTTCCTTTTTGATTATTTAAATGTTCTAATCATTTTAATATAAATTAATTCTACCTACCCACTATCTATCATGTTGAAGATTCATGTCATTGTCCAGACAATGGACAAACAGAAGAAAAACCTAATCAAAACACAATCGAATCTTCGATTCAATCAAGTGTTAAAGCACATTTTCATTTTCTTCCCTTTTTCTTCCTCGCCCTCGTCAGATTTTCTTTTTTTTCCTTGTTCATGTCAAATATTTCTTTTTCCTTCTCTCTCACTCATATCTCACTTCCCCTGGCAACAATGGCAAAGGAAAAGAAGCAGAAAAAAAAGATAAAATTTAATTTGTGGTCAGCTCTGCTGTCATCACCAGATACATGTGTTTTATGTGTATTTTGTTCGTCTTTTTTCCTATCTATGTGGTTTTGTTTACGAGGGAGAGCGAACCTGGAAAAGATTCAAATATTCGTTCATTCGTTCGACTTACAACACTAACTAACTTTCCCTTAAATATTCACTCACAAAACATGACATTTAAGGCGACAAAAATTTAGCATTTTATAATTGAAAAATATTTTCTGAGTTACCCTAAAAAAACATTTTTAAAAAATATTGAAAACTCTCTGATGTTATTTTAGGCTTCTCATTCTCTGGCTTTTGTCATTTATGTCGGCATTTATGTTTGCATGAGCATTTTTAGCATAAAAATAAATTTTGCAATAACCATAATGCGTGGTGGTAATATAAGTCGTTAAATTCAAGCTCGTACGATGTTATCTGGTGATGACATTTCACATATTACTGGAATCTATTTAATGAATGGATAATTGGATAATCGGCTTGAAGATATGTAGCAATATTTAATGCCACCCATGACGATGGTGTTGATTATGATGATACTTTAACTGCCTGCGCAAATTCGATATGCACTTAAACGTATCGAATATCTTAGCACGCGCGCACCAAACAAACTTTGATCTGATTAAAACAAGAGAAGTGAGTGAATGAGTGCATTTCTTGTTCAAATTGTAATTAAAGAAGTGTCAGTCGAGTGGAGTTCGAGTTAGAGAATCAGGTCAATAGCAGAAATCTCCTTGAGTCCTTAAATATATTTTTAACGATGACGATTTAAGATTGCTGCAGAAGGCAAATAAGAAAGAATGAAAGATAAAAAAGAATAAAAAATTTTATGAGATTCTCGAAAAGGCAACAACACATAGAGAAAGAAGCGAAAGCGTCGAGAAGAAGAAGATATGAACAATAAACCAATCAGCGTGTAGAAACGCTTATGAAACGATTGCGCAAATGGAAAATTTTGATACAAATGGCGATTTTTTCAAAGTCATGAAATTTTTTTTGTTGCAAGCTTTTTTATTGATTTTCATTCGCACAACTCAATGATCAAAATGAGAATGTTTCATGTTTGCCTTTGAAGTTGAATTATTATTTGTTTGCATGCGAAAAGCATTTTACAAACCAAATACATAAATAAATGGAAATATTTTATAAAATGCTCAAAGGAAACAACAAAAGCAAAAAATTCCATCACAAATTAAATTGAAACTCTTGAAAATTTTTGACTAAAAAAGAAAGATTTTCCTTAACGACATCAAGAAGCAAATCGTTTTAAAATGATAAAAGAAAAATTCAATTTAATTAAATGTTATATAAGTAGGAGATCCACAACACCTGAATTGAGAAGTTGGATGAAAACAAACGTTCACTATTCGCTTCGCTTACAGAATGAAATTTAAACATCACAGAAATTATATTGATTTCTAATTGTTGCCATCGTGACGCGCACCTTTCAAGGATTTAATATCATCATGGAAGAAGAGATTAAATTTGTTTCTGTATTTATTGCTTTATTGTTAAACATCGTTGCTTGCCAACTCATAGCTACAAATATCGTTTCAGCAACGAACGCTGCTTTCAAAATTTTCCAAGTGGTTGACGTTAAGAAGAATAAAACAAGAGAAATTCATTCTAAGCGCCAAAAATATTAGAAATCTTAAGCATAAGCGGATTTATTTCTGACGTCGATTTGAAGTTTTCTTCTCATTATCAGCATTTTTATATCGAGCTCGAGCATAACTCATAAGTAATAAGCATAAATTTAACGTTTCTAAAAATGGTAAAAAAGATTAAAAAACACAAAGACGAGCAAAAAGTGAATGTTGCTAATTAAACTTCGTCTAAAAGTATATCTACTGCCAATGCTTGAAACTCAACAATACATTTAAAGCCAACTTAAAAGCCACCGTGAAGCACGGAATCATCAAAGCCTCAGAAACAATTAATATCAAACTTCCAAGAAACTTAATCTAATTAATGTTGAACTACGGAAGTCGCTGCAGCTCTAACAACATATTCCATCATAATAATGACGACTACAGCATTTACAAACAACAAAGAAAATCCTTTGAAGATTTCAAAGTCCACTTGACGATGAAAACAATAGTCGCATATGCTAATTTAGAAATTTGAGCTTTCACTGCTTTACAATTTTATTTTCTTTATTTCATTCCAAGTGTGCACTTGAAGAAGGTTTTTGTCGGTGCTTTTTATGAATAAATTTTAGTTCGCTTTGTTTAAGATTTTTTCATTCTTTTCTTTTAGCAAGAAATCCTTTTGCAAGGGAAAATTATTCTCAAACAATGCGTTTTGAAAGTAAAAGTTGACAGAGATCAATGCATTGCTTTACGTTTTCCTTTTTGGATCACTTTCCATCGAATTATTTGTATATTTCGATACAATAAATGTCTCAACAGTCCTTCAGACGTTGTGCTACCCTCAATCAAGGTCAATAGTTTTTCTGCATTTTAAGAGCTTAAACGAAACTGGAGAGATTTTCAGTCGTGATGAAGAGAAGAAGGAAAGAAAAAAAACCAAACATTCTGTTTATTGAAAATAAAAAAAGGGTGATGTAATGGTTGATTCTATGTTAAGCTTCTGTTGTGTACACATGAGGAAAAAAAGCAAAAGTCAAAAGTCATCGACAAATTAGATGATAAATTATTCATATTTTGATAAATAATCTATGGAGGAGGAAACTCAAGCTTTTTATTTTTTGTTTTAACCCTTTTAACTATCGTCAATCACGATTTGAAGTATCGGCCATAAAATCCATCAATCAAAAATTTTATGTTTGTCTAAGCTGCTAAGCACCACCAAGTTGAAGCAACTTGAGCCATCTCGTAATCAGCAATTTAAATAAATGATTTCTCATCATCACTTGAAACAGTCACAATGTTTACTTAAGTTTTTTTTTTGTTTTTTGAAGAAATTTCAATCTATTGTGGACAATCATCCGGTTCATGATAAATTTAAAATTTTCTTCCTTGGTTCTCACGTGAATGTTTAATTTAAGTACAATAAGAAAATATTTTCAGCTTCCCCCAATCAAATAATCAGAATCAGAAGTCAAGACGATGAAATGCCGCCCCAGGCCACAAGCCACTGAAGCGATACACACTTCTGTAATCTCGCCCTGCCAAATGTGCTGTCGACAACAAAGACGTTGCAAATTAAACTAACAATTAACTTCTAGATGAACGATCAAGGTGGGACTTTTCTTTCTGTGACGTGGTCGATAGTGAAAAGACTTTGTTCGTCTCAAGACCGCCTGCCAATAGACGCTCACCGGGACATTCTTTTTTCTTTTCATCAGTTAGCAAAACTTCCTTCTTTCTCATACTTACTAAATGTTCATTTTATTTCGCCGTCATCGTTAAAGTCTTCTCTTCGTCTTAAAATGAATTAGAAACTTCACAATCAAGACAAACTTCTCTTTTTTATTTAAAGTAAAATCATTCAATTAGAAGAAATAATTTAATGATGTGGGCATTTGTGAATGTTTTGATTAAAGACGAATCAACATGAAGCACTTGAGAAACTATTGGAGATGAAATTTAGATTTGAGACATTCACTGGTTGGCTTTTTCCGTTAGAACAATTTTCGTGAGAAGACCAAAATTATATTAAGATGAGAATTTTCACTATTCCAATTTTTATTTTAAATTTTTTGACAGTTCAAAATGACAATTTTCCTTTATGGGTTTTAAGGAAAGGGTCGTGCAACTCCTTGTACGATGCAATGTGTTTCACATTCAATTTGACTTGGGAAAATATTTTCGTTGCCTCCACAGCCTTCGTAGTCAAGAACTTCACAGAAACCAGTTACGAAGTCATAGTAGTAATAAACTATGGAATCAGAAGGTCCCATTGAACCGGAACATGGGAAGCCAGCATCAGGTAGAATATCGCAGTTACTGACTACATAAACAATTTGTAAAAATATTTCCATGATTTAATTAAAGTTTATACTCACATGGATCACTACCGCAGTTTATTCTTGCAATTAATGCAGTCATGAAGAACAAAGCAATGTAAAATTTCATTTTAATTTTGAAGTTTCTTCACTTGCAGTGGATGAAGCTGAAGATATGAGTTAGGTTTGCTTGCGACAACATTCTTTTATACTCACAAGTTTAAGAGAAAAAGTTTATGAGAAGAAATCACGAATTTTCATTATAGAATGTTAATTTTTTGCCATAATTTATTGAAACTAGTCTCAGCTTATATTGGTTTTCAACGAAAATCGTGAAACTTTTGAATGAATTTGTTAAAACAAACTTTGTTCTTAAATATTTCAATAAAAATTTTAATCCCATCATAAAAATATTTAAGACTCTTGAATCCAATTCAACATTGTCGTTCATGGCTCTACTGAACTAAATACCTATTTGCTTTTGTTAATCAAAAATCATTTTAAATATTAATTTCTCTGTTGCATTCTTGTCAAAGGAGCGCGAAATGGTTTTCCAACCAGTGAAACAATGAATTTTTTATCAGTAAGTAACTGTTTACGTCTTCGTTTGTTTAGCCAAATAATTGATCATCAGTGCAAGATTTCTTTATTATTTAAGTTTAAGCTGATATTTTAATTGAAATTTTAAATATAAATTTCACGTTTCAACGCGAGTAAATGAACAGTTCTAAAAAAGTTACATGCCTTACTAAGATTTCATAATTAAATCGATAATTCCATGGATTTCTTCGTGATTGAAAGTTTGCATTAACAAATAAAGAATTAAATATAAACTTAAAAAATAATTTTTTCTATTT